AAATTTCAAAATGTGTAGCGTCTTATTTATCTAGAATCAATTGATCATTTAAATTCATCACTTACCACTTGAACATTCCATCTGCTTCATATGTCAACAAAGGGAAATTACTCTATGTATACAGGTAATATTTCAAGACAACAATAAGGCATGTCAAATCATCTTATATTCCAAAGACTTTGTTATGTGATATTTCAAGGAAAATCACTCTAAGCATATAGTTAATACTACAAGATCACAATCTGCTGTCAAAAGGGAAACAACTCCATGTTTTGCTTCTTAATTCAAGACCACAATATTACAATATAAGATAACTTACTGTAGGGAATCTCTGTCTCGGTATAGTTCTAAATCTAGGTTTACCAGCTAGTGAAGGTTGGAACACAGGTGGTGAGCCCATTAATGTTGATGTACTGCTCACTGAAATAATGAGTTATAGTATTCATTATAGAGTTATTGCCCCTGATGCACAAAACAACTTCTGGTCTGACATTTCTATAGATGAGCTCCTTTTTCCCATACACCTAAAGTCCAATTTTTTTTAAAGTCTCCTGAATTGGACACAAAAGTAACAGGAGATGGGCTCTAGTCATTTGCAATGTGACCCTCCCTTCCTGTTAAAACCACAACCTCAAATCAAAAAACTTACCTGTACTTGTAGGTGAAGTAAAAGAATGAGAGGACACTGTTACTAGATTAGATGAGGACAGAGTTACTGGTGGACTGTTGGGCATCATGATGGAGCTTCGGTTCATGCCAGCCATTGATGTAGACGTTGCAGTGGATGCTCGTACAATGGGTACTGAGACTGATTTGTGAATTACTGTAGGAGTCATCGATTGTCCAGAACTTGTTACTAATATAACCTGAAAATATAAAAATTAAAAATTTCAGCAAATTTGAAAAAAATTTCCAAATTTGGCTCGGGTTCAACCCATAAAAGAAAACTCCATGTTATATGTAGAACAGACAGCTACTTATTGCCTGACAACCGACTGACTGAGCCATTCCACTGTTCTAGCAGACAAAAATCCAACTTACTACTGACTCAGCTATTCCATTGTCCTAGCAGATGACAATCCAACTTACTACCAACTGAGCCATTCCATTGTCCTAGCAGACGACAATCCAACTTGCTACAGACTGAGCTATTCCACTGTCCTAGCAGACGACAATCCAACTAACTACTGACTGAGCTATTCCACTGTCCTAGCAGACGACAATCCAACTTGCTACTGACTGAGCTATTTCACTGTCCTAGCAGACGACAATCCAACTAACTACAGACTGAGCTATTCCACTGTCCTAGCAGACGACAATCCAACTAACTACAGACTGAGCTATTCCACTGTCCTAGCAGGCCACAAACTAAGCTCTTCTAATCTTTTTATGCCATTTACTATCAAATTTGTTCTGAACAGAGATAAAGTTCCTAGAATGTCTTACCTTTGGAGGTTGTGTATGTGATGTAGAGGGAATGCCCCTACCCTGGGGAGATTTACTGATGGTTATTTTGACAGGGGACATGGTATTATGTGAGGCCTGGGGGGTAGAGCTGTAGGCTATCCTGGGAGTCTGGGTTGACACAGAGGACAAACTATCAGAGGATTGACTTCTGCGCCGTTTTCTCGTCTGCATTTCTTCTTCTTCATCAGGGTGTAGAACTCCTGAAACAAAAAATCAAATTAAGGGTAAATTTGGGTTTGCATACTAGCTAAACTTTCAGAGATTTCACAGAGCTAATAATATGTTTCTAGTATTTGGGGTTTGTCAACTCAGAATCCCTTTCAGAGAGTTCACATAGCTAATAATGTTTATTCAGTATTTAGATTGTCAATTCCCCTTCCATTTCAGACAGTCCACATAACTAATAATGTTTATTTGGTATTTTTTATTACCTTTGATATGTATAGAAGCACCACTAGGTAGAACGACAACATTAGAAGCTGGACTAGAGGGTCGCGAGACTTTAGTAGAGGTTCCAACACCAACTGATGACATTCCACCAGAATATATCAGAGGACCAACTGGAAATAAAAATGAAATAAATGGAGATTTATGCCCTACTCTTCTGCACCATATTGGGTGGCAATGAAGATAGGCGAAAACATGCAGAGTGCTAAAGGGGAAAGTTTTGCAAAGACAGCAGCATTAGGCTTTTTTTTATTTCCTACTGTCGATGGACTTAAGGTTTTTAGTCTGTAGCACACTGGGCCATGGTTTATTGTCCCATTCGAATGGCTCAACGCTTTTTTTCGGTAATGCATCACAGGAGGAAACCAGACAAAAAAATCTGAAAATTTTAAAGTCGAAGACTGCTGTTGCTTAATTGCACGAGAACCAGACATTAAATTGTAAACTCTGTTTGAATTCTTACTTACCATCGCGTCCAGCAGTGTTCTTAGGAGCAGGTAACATGGCATTCTTCTCAGCCTGAGCGTTAGCCACCCTATTAGCAGCATCAGTGAAAGCTGTCTGTGGCACCAATCTTGGCATCAGTGGAATTAAACGTCTTCCTTCTATCAGCCATTCTGATGTCGTATTGGCACCAGATATACTGAAAATATTTTAAATAAATGAATTAAATATTTCGATCTTATGAGAATTTTTGTTAAAATTCTGGTAAATTTCCAATAGAAATAGAATTGAACTGTTTAATTTTTCATGAAATCTCAGGAATGAATTTGATCAGAAAAAAACCAATGATGTATGATAATTTGGTTTTTCTTTGAAATTGACACTAAAAAAATCTCACTTAAGTGTTTCAGTACAGATTGTTGATTAAACTTTTAATAATAGGCTCAAACTTTGCTTAATGCTAGTGTTGGTAATATACAACTTTTCAAAGTTTTGCAAAATAGTCCAGAATACTTTTTTAAATCGTATTTCCATCAAAACGTAATAGCAGTTTGTCTAAACATACTTGTGAGCAATTGTCGCAAATTTCTCATCATTGACAGCTCGTCTGACTTCAGCACGATGTCGCTCAGTAGAAATGCTCAAAATATTCTGTAAATCTTGCAAAATTTTCTTCTTTTCCTTTGTTAGATCTCCCTGAGCTCTGAAAGCTGACAGTACGGCCGAGTAACCTTCTAATTCCAGCCGTCTTAAAACTCTCTTGCAATCATCTCGTGACATATCTAATAACATTGGCCACAACATTTTGAATTCTGAAATGGAGAAACAGATCTGAATGATCAAGCTCTTTTGATTGAATTTCAGGAGAAAAAAAAGCTGAAATCTGCTCTAAATTTTGATCTGCAGATTTTTTGCGTCCAAATGTAAATTTTCTACTTTAAATTCGGTCTTATGATTCACAATTTAGAAAGGTGATGTAATGCAGTGTGCAATGAGGAAAATTTGCAAGGCTAGCTATATTAGCCTACTCTTTATTTTTCAACTTTATCATTTTAAACGCTTAGGCTAATGAAATCACTGCAGTGTTCTAGAGATGCCAAGAAAACTAAGGCCAACTGATGCAAAAGTGCAAATGCATCCTTCAATGTATAGTAGTATATATTTCAGTTAAATACTATAAGTTGCTAAGCAATCTTTTCTCGTTTATCATGCATTCTTGTGCAGAAATTGACAATGAATGACAGAAATCGGGTCAACGAATTTGCTTTGTTTTCGAGACATTTTATTCGATTTACGAAAAAAGTACTAAAGGAAATATACCATTAACAATTTTCAGTAACTAAACAAAACTTCAACAATACAACAAATATACAAAATATTTTTCTAAACACTTGGCATCAAAGAAATCCGATTTTAAAACTTTTCCACAATGAAAAAAGCAATTTTCGCCGCCATTGCTGTCTTGCGGGAGAGAAATACGCATGCGTCAGTCAAATAAATGATAATTCTGGATATTTTCCGAATCGCAGAAACATAAAATTCTCTAATATTTGTTGGATTAAAAAGAAAATATATACACAGTTTGTTCAATTTCAAACGTTTCAAATTTTTAAGCAAAGATACTCATATTTCTACAAATTTGATTAATTTGCGTTTCAAAGAATGCAAATTAAATCTTAGTTTGTACGAATCCAATCATGAAAGGTCAAGGTCGGATTTGTTTACATGTCATTACATGTTGTCAAGAATGCAAATCTTTGAATTTTTCCACCGATTTTGATGGTTTCTCTGGTTAGTTTATTTTAGCATACGTAAAGATATTCTCGGCATTTGTTCTAATTCAATTCATAGTTTTTAGAGCGACATTTTTGCAGAAACACTGCGATTTTCGGCCGAGGAAGGGACTTGATTTTCAAACCACAAAATGGTGAGGGCTGTATTAAGGTAACAAAAATGAAATGAAATGGAGTTTTACGACCTACAGTTTTCAATGACGGAAATTTTCTCGAACAACAACATATAGACCACACTTTTCAAGTATGTTACCAAGGCAAGATTGTTAACAAAAAAAAAAAACAGCGAAAAAAATGTGGTAGGAGATGGGCTACTGTCTTGGCAATACCCATTCATTATTGATTACCACAAACAATCAACTAATTGACTGTTCTTGCAGTCTTAGTCCGTTATACACTTCTTTTGCAAATTAAAATTGATAGTCAAAACTAGGTTCTGGAGTAATCTCCCTTTCATTACCTTATATAGACAATTTCTGTTTCTATTTCAGATCAGGTTTCAAGATGGAAGAAAATGACTTCTTAGTTAAGAAATGTGGACTGAAATTCGATCCTGTGGGATTAGTGATCTCGTATGTGGACATGCACACGAATAAAATGCGTAGACGCACAATGCCTTTACGAGATTTCGACAAAAATTCCAAAATTGACAATGTTGTGTTGGAACTACAAGACTCGAAACATAAACGATTTATTAATTTGATTCCGCGAGGTCAGCTAGTACGATTACTCACAATAGCGAAAGACAAACTTACAGGAATGAGCCTAGAAGCCAGTTTAGCTCGAAATAACGATCTCGATAAAATAGACCCTGAAGAAAACCTCAACAAAGTAGACGAAGAAACGTTACAACGGAAAAAGCTACGCATGGACGCACTTTTTGAAAGAAATCGTAAAAAACCTGATGATCCAGATTTCCAATATGATATTGAGGTAGACTTCGATAATGAGGCGAAAATTGAATCATGTGGTTGGGATTCCGATTCCGATGGAGAATTTTGATCAATTTCTGTTTTTGATTTTTTACTCATGTTTTTTACTCCTGCCTAAATTCCTCAAGTGCTACTTTACTGTCATTTTCAAAATCACCACATTAATGGAACAGATGCGTCATTTTGGAAGGTTGATTTTAGTCTTGAATATATATGAAAATAGATTCAGAAGTACTAGAAATGTACGAAAATCACATAATTCCTTTAAAAATACAAACTAGGAATTTTACTCACTCTTTCTATATATCACAGAATATCTTAAATTGATGAGTCGTCATTTTAACATTCAAATGCGGATCATTCTGGACACACATGGATTTGAAGGCACAAATTTTGACTGTGAACACTATTACTGATTGGCCAAGCTAAATAATTCCCATTTCTAACACTAAAGTGTTATCGGACAAAAAATGGCCCACCTGTCCCTTTAAATTATTCAAGTTTTTTGTTGTTATGTTTTTGATCAGTCAAAAGCCAACATGTTCTAGCGTAGATGCCACCTATTGTCTTATTGACCCCATTATCTTAATATCATAAGAAGGGTACAACGTGGGAAAACGTAAAAAGAAAGGAATTTAGTTAACACTTTGAACACTAGTGAATGCTTTACCAGGTACATAATTACGTGTCATATACCACAGCAGTATGCAATGAGGACAATTTTCCAGAATAGTGCCATAACCAATAATACTCTCATATCAATTTCCAAACATCAAGGGATCTTTACTGTACATCTCATAGATCCTTGGTTGTTAGTCTCATGAAATTTCCAAACGTCAAGGGATCTTTACTGTACATCTCATAGATCCTTGGTTGTTAGTCTCATGAAATTTCCAAATGTCAAGGGATCTTTAATGTACTACTGATGGAGCCTTGATTGTTAGTCTCATGTGAGTGACATTTATGATTTTTTCCACATCTCTCAGAATATATTTTATGATTCTATTTATCTATGCAATTTTATCATCATTTATTAGTTTATTAAATCATAAACCAAACTGACACTGTGTTATCATATTTGCACCAAAAACGGCCCAGGGTATTGTATTTGTACACAGAAATGGCAAGGTGATTTGCAGAGACAAAGCTTAGGGAGGTGCAAGGTATCAAGCAGTATTCATGCAACTCAAAGGAGATAACTGTAAACCTTACAGTTCAAGGGAGATAACTGTTAACCGTATAGATCAGGGGAGATAACTGTTAACCTTACAGCTCAAGGCAGATAACTGTTAATCTTACAGATTAGGGGAGGTAATTGTTATTAACCTTATAGATCAAGGGAGGTAACTCTAACCTTACAGATCAAGGGAGGTAACTGTTAACCTTACAGATCAAGACAGGTAACTGTTAATCTTATAGATCAGGGGAGATAGCTGTTAACTTTACAGCTCAAGGGAGGTTTCTGTTAACCTTACAGATAAAGGGAAGTAGCTCTTAACTTAACAGATCAATGGAAGCAACTAGCGCGGTCCGCACTGCGACTGTCAGAATCAGAAAACAATTGAAATTTTAACTATAGACATCTGAGAGAATTTCATATTTTGCGGGCTGAATGTCGTCAGTAAATTAAGCATTTTCTACTTTCTAGCTAAAACATGAGCTTAACCTCGACCGAACTTGGTTCAACCAGTCCCAATTGTAGTGAAGCCACTGACTCACTGCACTCCAATTCTCCACCCTGATCACAAGGTCAGAGATATCACGATGACTAACATATGACATGCCTATCTCTACCTGTCGATTAGATTAGGGTTTTGTTATCATATGACATAATTTTAATAACATAATTCCTAGATTCTCCATCTTTCAATAGAATTGAAATGTATTCGTGATGAACTCAAAAGATCGCAAACCCAAACGGGAAGGTAACAAGGGAATAAGAGTATGCTAGTCTAGTGAACTGGGAGTTGGTACGGTACTTGATTCTGAAAAGATGGCATCATTCAGAGACAGGATAAAGTCTCTTCCAGTACGTGGTGTTTTGACGGTTGTCGGAGGTTTCATTCTACACGTGTCTATTGGAGCAACCTATTTATTTGGTATGTACGTGCATTTTGAACGTAAAAAAATTAGCCTTCATTCTCAAATTTCTTTTCACTTTGCATAGGGAAAGAACCACCGTCGGACCCCGTCCAGTGGGTCCCAAACCCCAGTCCGCCCATGAGATGGCAACTGAAAAATATAACCAAAACCTAATTTCATATCTTTTAGGAAATATCACGCCGTACGTGACTTCCTATCTAAGAAAGAAAGCGGTATATACGAATACCAACTATGCCGAATCGCTTTGGATTGCCTCTTCTCATACTGCGGCCGGTGCGTTACTGTCGTCTTTATTAGCCTTCTTGGAGATGTATCTATCTACCAAAATGTTCCTCGCCTTGGCTTGTTTCATGAGCTCGTAAGTTTCAAATTTCTTTTTAACTATTCGAGATTGGGTGTGTCCATCATCCGAAATATTTTTCTTCCATGTGTTCGTTTACCAGGTATAACAATTCACATGTCAACCGATTTTGAAACTAGCCAATAACATGCTTGCATGTAGCTATTGTTAAGTTTTGTTTTGTAAAACTGAACAAGCGTACGAAATTTTATAAGTGAGGGGGGCAGCCAATGTTTTTTTGTGATATGAAATGACTGAGTTGTTCCATTTTAATTCATGTTTCAGATTAGGGGTCATATTGACCTATTTCTCTGTTAAACTGTCTTTGTTGGGTGTGATAGGAACATTTGGTGTTCTTTATGGTGTCGGACATTCGTTAGTCTACCCTCTTGCCTTTAAAGATGCAATGGAGGTAGGTTGGCGCTGATTAGCTATAGGCTATTGTGGTACGATCACAATCTGATGCAATGTGTGTTGAGACCCAAAACAATAAAACTGCATTGCATTAGTCCAATAAGATACAGAACAGTAGGATATAAAATTCCATTTCATTTCATTAGTCCAATAAGATACAGAACAGTAGGATATAAAATTCCATTTCATTTCATTAGTCCAATAAGATACAGAACAGTAGGATATAAAATTCCATTTCATTTCATTAGTCCAATAAGATACAGAACAGTAGGATATAAAACTCCATTTCATTTCATTAGTCTAATAAGATACAGAACAGTAGGATATAAAACTCTATTTCATTTCATTAGTCCAATAAGGTACAGAACAGTAGGATATAAAACTATATTTCATTTCATTAGTCTAATAAGATACAGAACAGTAGGATATAAAATTCCATTTCATTTCATTTGTACAATAAGATACAGAACAGTGGGATATAAAACTCTATTTCATTTCATTAGTTCAATAACATACAGAACAGTAGGATAAAAAATTCCATTTCATTTCATTAGTCCAATAAGATACAGAACAGTAGGATATAAAACTACATTTCATTTCATTAGTCCAATAAGATACAGAACAGTAGGATATAAAATTCCATTTCATTTCATTTGTCTAATAAGATACAGAACAGTAGGATATAAAATTCCATTTCATTTCATTTGTCCAATAAGATACAGAACAGTAGGATATAAAATTCCATTTCATTTCATTAGTCTAATAAGATACAGAACAGTGGGATATAGAACTACATTTCATTTCATTAGTCCAATAAGATACAGAACAGTAGGATATAAAATTCCATTTCATTTCATTTGTCCAATAAGATACAGAACAGTAGGATATAAAATTCCATTTCATTTCATTAGTCTAATAAGATACAGAACAGTGGGATATAAAACTACATTTCATTTCATTAGTCCAATAAGATACAGAACAGTAGGATATAAAATTCCATTTCATTTCATTAGTCTAATAAGATACAGAACAGTGGGATATAAAACTACATTTCATTTCATTAGTCCAATAAGATATAGAACAGTAGGATATAAAATTCCATTTCATTTCATTAGTCCAATAAGATACAGAACAGTGGGATATAAAACTACATTTCATTTCATTAGCCCAATAACTACACTTAAGGACGCACGAATTGTTATATATTGGTTTCATTCCAGTGGTTTCCTAATAATAAAGGTCTCGTAGTTGGAATCATAGTAACAGGATATGGCTTATGTTCCTTTATTTTTAATTTTGTGGTCACAGAGTACATAAACCCTGAGAATTATTCCCCCGATATTCAAGATGGCGAAGACAGGTAAGATGGCAGTTCTTCAATCTGAATAAAGCTTTAACTCTCCCGCAATGACCTTCGATTCTTTGTAACACTTAGATCATTTAGGCAGCGAAGCGGTTTACTTAGAACCCAACGCCGGATGCCAGTCAAAATGTCAACGTGATTATAAAATTTCTTAACCATTAAGTCAGTTACTGAATAGAAAACTTTGCCAACGCTGATTGGATGAAACAGCGTGTTAGGTCAACCCCTAATCAGTCCGTTTCCTTTCTGCTTTCGGTGGGTATTTAAGCCAAGATGATTCCTTGGACAGCGTACGGGCAAAATCACCTTCTCCGCCTCTCCTACAAAGATATGTTGATTGAACCCCCACTAACTCCCGTACCCATTCTCTCTCTCTTCAGGTATTTCAGCCAAGATGACTTGTTGGACAGGGTACCATCCTGTTTTCTACTGGTTGGAGGGTGTCTAGTTGGTCTCCAGATTATTGGTTTATGTCTGATCTTCAAACCACCAGAGTCTCCAGAGGTTCGTTCCTCATACTATTTCCGTGATCTTGAGTTTAGATTTTATTTCTTTGTCTCAGTATTAATTTTGCTTGAAAACAAACTGTTACTATTTTCAATAAGCGATTCATGCTGGTGTGTGCTCACAGCGCAATGATACCGCTGTGATTACCGCTAGCGGAGCAGGACACGGAGTCAAAATTATTCATAACTGGGCTATTACTGGTTTTAAGAATGATCCATTCTGACCACACGAATCTCTTTAGTACTTTATTACCACCAATGCCTCTGATGGCCAAATAAATGATTTATCACGTCTGAAAGGGGACCAATTTTCATTGTATTTGTAGATAGAAAGCAGCAAGTCCAAACATCTGAAAGAAGAGGTGGAGAAGACTGGTAGTGATGGTCAAACTATGGAAAGGAAAAACAAGGAAATACCGATGTAAGCCTCCTCCTGCTATTTTCTCTCATGCAGAACAGTAGAATGATGCTCAATCTGATCCAATTTTGATGGTGGGTGAAAGATTTGACGTGTTGCAGAAACGAAGCCTAAAGAATAGCCAAAGCAGAAAAGTACAACGAAAAACTTTATGTCATTTTCATTCCAGAAAAATCCAAGAAAAAAGCATGACAGTAAAAGAAGCTCTAACAAGCAGAAAGTTTTACATAATCTGGTTTTTGATGCTTTCTTTTGGTATGGGATTTGGTTATACCTATACCATATACAAGGTGGGGGAACCAGGCACGTTTTTACAGGTGATGTGGGGTGCCCGGGAAAATTCTGAAGACCTAACCCATTTCATCTGATCTGAGAGGAACATATTTGAATATTATCGTCGTCGAATGTCTGGCTTAACCCGTGGCTAACGATGTACTTTATCATCCCTAGAAAGTGCAGAGCAGATGCATTCTTATAATGATAAAATCACCAAAATATTTTCCCTCTTTGTCGAGCTTGACAAATTCCTGCTATATTATTCAGACATTTGGTCAGACGTTTATCCATGACGACCATTACCTAGCAACCGTATCGTCTGTCAGTTCTATTTTCAACGTATGTGGTAGAATAGCAGTAGGGCTGGTGGCCGATAAAATTGGACTTGAGGTACCTCTACTTTTTCATTCTCTATATTTTCAAACCGCTAGGTTACATAGAGAGATACGGCCGTTTAAATATTATGATTGCAAGCTGATAAAGCTCAATATCAGTTATCAGTATTATCATAATACTTACTTCACCAGCTGAAAGAGCTTAATTTCAGCTATCTGTATAGTTATCTAAATATTTACTTTACCAGCTGATAGAGCTCAATTTATGCTATCTGTATAGTTATCTAAATATTTACTTTACCAGCTGATATAGCTCAATTTCAGCTCTCTGTTATAGTCATCTAAATATTTACTATATCAGCTGATAGAGCTCAATTTCAGCTATCTGTATAGTCATCTAAATATTTACTTTACCAGCCGATAGAGCTTAATTTGAGCTATCTGTATAGTCATTTAAATATTTACTTTACCAGCTTATCTGTATAGTCACCTAAATATCTACTTTACCAGCTGATAGAGCTTAATATTAGCTATCTGTATAGTCATCTAAATATTTACTTTACCAGCTTATCTGTATAGTCACCTAAATATCTACTTTATCAGCTGATAGAGCTTAATATTAGCTATCTGTATAATCATCTTAATATTTATCTTACCGGCTGATAGTTGTCTGTACAGTTATTTTATTATTTGCCTTACGAGTTGAGAGAGCTCAATTTTAATTATCTGTATATATTTCAGAAAACCTTGGTCATGGCGACAGCTCTGTTCAGCATCTTCCTCTCTACATTGCTCTGTACAGAGTTCGTGGGCAGGGAAATGTTCTTTGCTTGGGTGTGCTTGATATACTTAGCTTTCCCTGGTATCTTTGTGGTGATGTCTGCTCTTACTATGAAGGTTTATGGACCAAAATACTATATAATTATATTTCGACTGCAGTTTTCAGAATCGGTTAGTATGGCAGGGTATGCTTACTCTCTCTTCTAGACACCTCATACCACTTTTCATAATGAAATACTTACTCACTTATGATTGACCTCCTCCCTTGATTATCAAATTAAAGAAATATATTTTCATCAGTTACGTCCCTTGAACTTGATCCCAATGATAGGTGTTGTGGAGTATATGTATTGTTCTTTGTTTTTATTTTAGATAATTGCCGCCGCCACCTCGTCAGTTTTGGCGACTGAGTTGAAGCCAGTCATAGGATGGCATGGGTTGTTTTATATTGCTTCAGTCTGTACCGTATTTGGTAGGTTGTTCAAGTATGCCAAGCTCAAAATGCAGGTGCATTTCAACATAACGTCGTAGGATGACGTGTACACGCATGGTCATATGACCTGATATAGCGTAGTTAAATGTGTTATATTACGACATGCGCGTGCATTTCAACATAACGTCGTAGGATGACGTGTACACGCATGGTCATATGACCTGATATAGTGTAGTTAAATGTGTTATATTACGACATGCGCGTGCATTTCAACATAACGTCGTAAGATGGCGTGCACACACATTGGACGTGCATTAAAACAGGGAATTAAATGATCTAATCAAATTTTACTTATTTTCAGCTTTCTTCTTCTCGTTGGTGTTGGACAAAGAGATGAGGAAATCGTCAAAGAAATCAACACAGAAAACACTAGATGTCAGTGCACAATCCGTGCCTAGTTGTTCGAATATCCAGACAAAAGCACCTGATCTTGCATTAAATATTAATAAGGACACTTCGACATATTTGTAGCTTGTGGACAGTTCGTGCAGGACAACCTTTTCATGGCTTGCCTGCTGTGCTGGAAAACGTTTGCGTGCTAAGCTTGTGCTTGAAAATTTTTGCGTGACCAGTTCGTACTGGGAAACTTTTGTATACCCAGTTCGAAACAGTGTCTGTTCTACCAACGCAACTTTGCAAAGCATTCGATCAAAACATTTGTTTCACAGTGTGAAAACTTGCTCGTTACCTTGTGTCAGTTTGTGCTAGAGAACTTTGTGCCAGTTTGTGATAGAGAACCTTGTGCCAGTTTGTGATAGAGAACCTTGTGCTAGTTCGCCACTATGTACATTGGCAAAAATAGTGTCCGTACAAAAAAACATTATTGGAGACAGTAAAAACTAAAATTTCCTCTTAATACTATTTGTAGTTATAGTAAATTCTACTAATGTATAATATTGTACCAAGAGTATATTATTTAACTAGCTGTATACACAGTACGTGTCAACTTATTATGTATTAGTCTAATAATAAATATTACTTCTTTTACGTGCGCAATAATGTAAATTATTTAAACTATTGTATATTCAGGTTTATGTACATTTATTGGAAAACCTTTCGGTCACATTTGGACTTTTAACATAAAAAAATAATACGGAACTTTCAAAACATATTTCAAGTTAAGCTGCAAAAACACGTTAAACGCGCTTACGGACACTTGTTATTGCAGCTTTAAAGGGTTTGGAATAATAGCCTCATCATCATCATCATCATCATCATCATCATCCATCATCATCCATCATCATCCATCATCCATCATCATCATCCATCATCATCATCATCCATCATCATCCATCATCATCCATCATCCATCATCATCATCATCCATCATCATCCATCATCATCCATCATCATCCATCATCATCATCATCCATCATCCATCATCCATCATCATCATTATTAAATTTTCCATATTATCATTATTATTATCATTTTTATTATTATTATTAAAAAAGAATTCGAACACCTCAGTTGTGATTCAGCTTTAGGTTACGTCAATGTCGAGCAGTTGATCAAACAAGCTGATTAAACACAGCCTTAGATCCCTTCGTGTAATTGGATTAGAATTCTCTATAAAATGAGGAGCTACGCTTCAATTTGTCATTCTTTCAAAATGATGCTTCTAGCCTTGATCGTTTTGATAGTAAGCGGTAGCGTCCTCGCTAAGCCGTTTGACGTAAGTACTTTAAGTTTAATATTTAGGTGATGACCGTTGAGAGTGCGTTTTGGATCGTAATTCGAACATACCTACGCAGTTGCCTTTGAAATCCGACACGGCAGAAGCTTTGCTCAAGCATTTCACTATCATGTGATCAAAATTTGATCTCAGAGGGTACAATTAACAATCTTCAGTTCGTTTTAGAATCCTCGAACATGCTCTGGGTCGATTATCGAACGCATCGAAGAAGAACTCTTGGAACACCATATTAAGCGTAGCAGCAGTAGCAACAGTAGCAACAGTGCCATTTGGTTCCAATATTTTAAAAGTATTTCCTCTATTTTGCGTTGCAGGTCACCAAAGAAGAGGCTCCAGTTAGAAACAAGCGAGACAGTGAGTATGTTAAATTGACGTAAAGGGTTTGTAAAGAGGTTTTCTAAAAATTGTATATGTATTGGGGACGCCGATAGCATCAATTTGGATAATTCCAATTTTCAATCAAACGTCTGTGGCTCTTGCAATTCCACTAAAACTAAGTGTTTGATGATGCCACGTAAACCACAAAATTAATGCAGGTCTTAAATTTTTCAGCATGTGGTGGTCGAGTGAGCAATTTAAGTAATGTTCGTGTTAAGTACCCTCCTAATGCGAGCACATATGGCAACAACGTCGACTGTTCATGGAGCATCTGTATGGACAACGCAGACTCCATTACCGTCAACGTGAAGACCATGGACATCGAAGCACATTCGTCCTGCGATTATGATTACCTTACCATTGATGGTCAAAAAGATTGTGGTAGAGCAACGAATAAACTTATAACAGGTAACTTGTTGGCATCTCAGGCGCCATTTTGTTTTTTGACATTTGCCGCATTCTTTCACAATAAAACAGAAATATTACAACCAATCAGATTCAATACGCAATGTAGACTCGGTCAATAATCAAAAAAACTAGATAGATGTTCAAGATCATTTTTCAGGTCCGTAGCTAGAGGAGAGGGGGCGAGGCAAAAAAATGTCGCCATTTTGTTTGTTAAGGACACCATTTCGCAATATTTTATAATAAATTTTACTACCATTGCCATGCAGTGTGCAATGATTGTAATTTAAATACAGAGAAACTCGGCATACGATGTCTTTGTGTCACCTCGCTTCGAACTCTTATCCATTTTCAGAAGCCATATTTTTTCTTTGTTTTCAGTGTCGGGAAGATGTACTACTATAACTTTCCATAGTGACAGCAGTGTGGGACGAACTGGATTCGATATCGAGGTCAGACGAGGTAGGGGCACGGTAACGAGAGGTGGTGAGATTGGGTCTGACCACAGCTCATTTCATGCTATCGACGCATGTTCGGAATGCATAGCCTTCATCAGGACACCCGTCATCAGGACAGTCAGTATTGGAAATAGTAGTTAACTGTACAAAACTAGCTGTCCTGCAGTGGTGGCGCCAGTGGGGTAAAGGGCGTGTGGGTGTGGGGGTTGTGGGTGACGGTTGTATTTCCCCCCGTTGAAAAATGTTTTGCGCCCTCAATATGGTTTTTATACGTTTCTGCCCCAAAATCTGTGCCAGTAAGCACCAAATCAATTCAAATTTTCGAAAACTTTCTTGGGAGAACTCTTTCAGACGCTCAGTCAGACGATCACGACTCTACCGTTGCCGCATTTTTGTACCTTCAGTCTCTGGAGGCTGGTGTCGCCACTGATGTCCTGATGGGGCTTTTGTAATAGCCGAAGTCACTTTAATCGTATTGTAGACGAACTGTAAGTAGAAGTAACAATGTGCAAATCATTACGGACATCTTAAATTAAAAAAGGAAAGAAATAGAGTCACATAATTATATCTGTTAACTTTGATCCTTTTTTTCAGTTGAACCACCAACTACTACAACGAGCTACAACGACTACGTAACCACACTTGGTTACAACAACAACTATGGTACAACGCTAGGTTATTACAACAACTACGATACTACTCGAAATTACAACAACTACGACTATACAACGCCGTACTACTACTGGAGAACATCTCCGTCCTATTACAATAACTACGGTACGACTCGAGACTATAACAACAACTACGGTACGACTCGAGACTACTATAACAGATACTCCACCCGAAATTACAACAACTACGACTACACAACGCCGTACTACTACTGGAGAACATCTCCATCCTATAACAATAACTACGGTACGACTCGAGACTACTATAACAGATACTCCACCCGAAATTACCACAACTACGGCTACACAACGCCGTACTACTACTGGAGAACGTCTCCATCCTATAACAATAACTACAGTACGACTCGAGACTACTATAACAATTACGGTACCACCCGAAATTACAACAACTACGACTACACAACGCCGTACTACTATTGGAGAACATCTCCGTCCTATTACAATAACTACGGTACGACTCCAGACTATAACAACAACTACGGTACCACCCGAAATTACAACAACTACGACTACACAACGCCGTACTACTACTGGAGAACATCTCCATCCTATAACAATAACTACGGTACGACTCGAGACTACTATAACAACTACGGTACCACCCGAAATTACAACAACTACGACTACACAACGCCGTACTACTACTGGAGAACATCTCCATCCTATAACAATAACTACGGTACGACTCGAGACTACTACAACAACTACGGTACCACCCGAAATTACAACAACTACGACTACACAACGCCGTACTACTACTGGAGAACATCTCCATCCTATAACAATAACTACGGTACGACTCGAGACTACTATAACAACTACGTGTACCACCCGAAATTACAACAACTACGACTACACAACGCCGTACTACTACTGGAGAACATCTCCATCCTATAACAATAACTACGGTACGACTCGAGACTACTACAACAACTACGGTACCACCCGAAATTACAACAACTACGACTACACAACGCCGTATTACTACAGGAGAACGTCTCCATCCTATAACAATAACTACGGTACGACTCGAGACTACTACAACAACTACGGTGTGACTCAAGACTATTGGTCGACACCTTCTAGTAAGTAGTCAATTTTTCTTCCGGTGCTTTTGATTGGTACGGCAATATTCAATTATCCAATAACAATATTCCTTGCAAATAATTTGAAATTAATGGGAATTACTAGCTAGTTTAACACGATGGTCCCATTCTGACCACAGAAAACTGTCATTGTACAAAACAATCTACTAGCTGGTTTGACACGATAGTTTGGTATGATCTAGTCCCATTCTGACCACAGAAAACTGTCATTGTACAAAATAATCTACTAGCTGGTTTGACACGATAGTTTGGTATGATCTAGTCCCATTCTGACCACAGAAAACTGTCAATCTGCTGGCTAGTTACACACGATAGTTTGGTATGCTCTAGTCCCATTCTGACCACAGAAAACTGTCATTGTACAAAACAATCTACTAGCTAGTTTGACACGATAGTTTGGTATACTCTAGTCCCATTCTAACAACAGAAAACTGTCATTGTACCAAACAATCTACTAGCTGGTTTGACACGATAGTTTGGTATGATCTAGTCTCATTCTGACCACAGAAAACTATCATTGTATCAAACATTCTACTAGCTAGTTTGACACGATAGTTTGGTATGATCTAGTCTCATTCTGACCATAAAAAACTATCATTGAACCAAACAATCTACTAGCTGGTTTGACACGATAGTTTGGTATGATCTAGTCTCATTCTGACCACAGAAAACTATCATTGTATCAAACATTCTACTAGCTAGTTTGACACGATAGTTTGGTATGATCTAGTCTCATTCTGACCATAAAAAACTATCATTGTACCAAACATTCTACTAGCCAGTTTGACACGATAGTTTGGTATGATCTAGTCTCATTCTGACCACAGAAAACTATCATTGTATCAAACATTCTACTAGCTGGTTTGACACGATAGTTTGGTATGATCTAGTCTCATTCTGACCATAAAAAACTATCCTTGAACCAAACAATCTGCTAGCTAGTTAGTCTTATCCTGACCACAGAAAAACTGCCACTGTTCCAAGTACTTTCTGCTTACCAGCTCGACACGATATGTCCCACGGAAAACGTTCAATTAAATTCTTGTTATTTTTTAGGTAGCGGCAGCCTACTTGGACGACTCGTCAACATCAAAGATGATGTACAGAGTGCCGAATATGATTTAAATAATGCCGTGGGTTCCATTGACAATATCATCGACGACGTCATATATACGGTCTAAGGTCAAGGTCATATTCCAATAACCTATGATGATATGATATATAACTTTATGCAATAAATGAAAATAATATCACATGGAGTTTTACGTCTTACTATTCTGTTCATCTTTGGGCTAATAAAGATTGGTAACGATAGGCACTCACGAGGGAGAAATTTTGTCAGCCGACACTTTGCGATGTCACACGGGCCTCTGATCATCGTCAGATCCGAATGACCAACTTCCTTTTAAAAGGACATCCAATCTTTAGAAGTGTTCCTTTTCCAATATGCAAAAAAAAAAACACACACCTAGATCCTTACTGCCTCAATTTAACATGGAAGGAAAATTTTGCCAGGACAGTAGCATTGGTCTAATTTTTCGATTTAAAATTGTCGTCGAGGGATATTTAATGAACACAGCACTTCCCAACAGGGGAAACCGTGTTGAAAAAATCAAAAGGTATTATTTCGACCCAAGCCGAGATTGAACCCTGGTTAATGAGCACGCGTCCAACACAGAGCCACCACGGCCCCCTGCTCTCAGCTGAGAGTAAAAGCTGAAGCAATTGGCTCTAATTAACAATATTGGATAAAACAACTAGCCACAGAAAGAGACAGATCTAAATGACGAGGCGAGGAGAGCGGCGTGTCGTACTGTTCAATAATATTCCCCGTCTTATTGGACATTTAATCCACTATAGCACATTAGTTGTATGAGAAACTTGCTGAACGCACGTGGTGTGTAAACTTGTGGATACTAGTGACAACTTTTCTCTATAACGTCTTGCGTTGCGTCCTGTTAGCAAAACGTACGCTGCTTTTTTACGTTTTTGAAGATATTATCTACTGACGGATTTGCTCTTTTGTAACGTTTTTTAGCGTTTTGTGTTGTATCAAAATATAATATATAGTTTACCGTAACGTTGCGTTTCGTTTTACAATTTTGTGCTCGGTTAACAAAACTCTTATGATTTTGACGGTTTTATCTACTGAACCTGTCACCCTGTTGTAACATTATGAAACGTTTTGTGTGTAGCTTTGTTATAACGATGGTTACGTTTTCATAGTTTTGTCAGGAAATAAGTACAGTCGTTGCACTTTTACAGTTTTGTCCACTTAAAGAGTCGCTTTGTTGTGTAGTTTTTTCATTGACGTTACGAAGAGTATATTTTTGGTTTTGTCTACGGAACGAGTAGCTTAGTTATAACGTTATGAGACGTCTTACGGTTTGGAATTTGAATGCGTCCCTCTTTTATAACGTTACGTAACGTGTTTATGAAGTTATCTACGGAACGTGTCGCTCTGTAACGTTACACATATAAACGTAATGATAGACAACTTGCAACTTACGTTTCCAGCAAACCGTTTTATTTAAGTTTACAACTGAACATTAGGGCTATATTCCTTAAGGCACGCATTGCTGTGAGCACGTTCCAGAAGACGGACTTTCTAATAGCGAAATATTTGAATGATGGTTCCTTTACTTTGATAGGAAAATTCAGTGGAATTACTTAACGGTTTGGAATGGAATTGAAATAAAGACGTTCTGTATGAAATTTAAAATCAATGCAGTATAATTGAGTATTTGTATGTGTCAAATGGTTCTAATTAGCAGTAAATCTGTTACTATGTTATATTATAAGCTATATGATTATATCGATTGAAACAAACATATACAATTTGACTTATATATATACACACAACAGGACGTTTTCCACTGTTTAAATAGTGTTCAATGCATATCAACGTTCTACACCAGTTAATGTGCAAGTAAGTAAAATATTTTCTTAAATATCTCGTTAATTGACAGACACCTTCTAAGCAAATTTTTTTTTACATCCTACTTGTGTAATGAAGACGAACAACGCCACGTAGTGTTAAATGAGGGAAATTTTTCAACTGTCGAGGGATCTTTGACTTTTACAGCCTGTAACACACAGAGCCTTGATTTATTGTTCCATCCAAACATTTCCAACTGTCTGTAAAGTGCACAGTCTGTAGTACGTTGGACCTGAGTTAATTGCTCTATCCGAACATCTACGCCTTCGAAGCCGGCATCACCAACCTACACCACCGATAATGTGTCGCTTACCGCGCTGAAATTAGCAATTAGCATGACAGTAAAAGAGACGAATGAAAAAGTCGCAAGGTCTCCAAAGACCAAATTATAAGAAAAAGTCGCTGAAGAAATGGTGTCTAATAGTTATCTAATGTGATAAGATAGTTTCAAATGTGTTACAATTATTTGTAATGTGAGATCTGGTAATTTCAGAGCTGGCTAATGACCGAGAAACTGTAAACAAACTAGGGATATAATTATTCAAGAAAAAATGGCTGTCACTGGAGCATTATTCTTAGTTTTTATAACGTCTTTTCTTACGGTAAGAAAGTTACTTTTTTCATTTTCCGTAGTTTTTGTTTTGCTTGTATGTTATGTAGAAAATCCTAAGTAGGCCTTACTAATGATCCAGTCCGCAAAACGAAACCCAAAACAATAGTTTTCAATTGGGCTAAGCGACGCATCTTAAAGGGACAGGTGACGAGTCGTCATTTTAACATTCAAACGCGGATAGTTCTGTACAAATAGATTTGAAGGTTCAAATTTCGAAGCTGGGAACACTATTACTGATTGGCTTAGTTTTTAGTTAAAAAAATTCCAGTTTCTGAGACTAAAGTATAATTGATCAAAACAAATGGCGCAGCTGTCCCTTTAAATAAAAGAAACGAAATACCTAACGAATCTGGTTGATTATACCAGCGCATAGAATAAAAACGAAACGAAATTCTAATGGTCTTTTATTCAAGCCGGTCTTTGAATATCAGAGTAGAAATGAAAATGAAATGAATGGAGTTTTACGTCCTACTTTTCTGTACCACGTGGGCTAATGAAGACAGGAATATCCGAGTAGAGTGAAGCGACGCAGAGTAAAAAGGCGAAACAAAATTTCAGTGTTTGAAGAAATGAATCAAAAATAACTCAGATTGAATGTATCGACGCATAGAATAAAAACGAGTGAAACATCCCATATAAAAAATATGAAACGAAAGATATTTCAATCAGATTAGGAGATATAAAGCTTGAACGGTTTAAGAGGATTGCTATTCAGGGATAAAACAGGGGTATTTTAATCAAGCTTCGAGCTAGAAAGTCAGATTGAGCGAAGCATCCCATATAAAAAAAACGAAACGAAATACCTTAAGATATTCTAATCAGATGATAAAAATAAAGCCAGAACTGTTTATTGAATAAAGGGAAGCCTGTGTGAAATCTATTTATCATATATCTTTCAACAGTCTATCTAGGATGGTTTATTTTATAGTTCAACAGAGATAAATTAACAGATAGCCTGCATATTTTCAAATGGCGAATTTCTTTTTACTAAATGAGTCATTTAATTTCCTTAAATTCGAGTTCATTATCTTACTCAAGTACAGAATAGCGTAAAACTCCACTCCATAACCTCAATAAAGAAAAACGGACGATATTCTCAAAGCTAAATTTCATTTCATTAATCCAATAAGATACAGAACAGTATGATATAAAACTCTATTTCATTTCATTAGTCCAATAAGATACAGAACAGTAGGATATAAAACTCCATTTCATTTCATTAGTTCAATAAGATACAGAACAGTAGGATATAAAAAATTTCGTTTATTTGCGAAAAACGAAGACCTTTTGGTATCGAATGCAGGAACTCCAAAAAAGCTCTACCTGTAGAGCAACTCCCTCACCCCCCATTTCTTCAATGTAAAGGAAAGCATGGCAGCTTGGGAATACACCCACGTGCCATCGGATGCGAAATTATCGTAAAAATCTTTTTAGGAAATTGTTTATCTATTCAATCAAAGAATTCATATCTTTAATTTTTTAAGATGCGATTGGCTGGAATCATATTTCGACCTTTATATTAAATAACAAACATACAACCGACAGACATAATGAAGTGAAATGGAGTTTCACACCCCACTTTGACAAATAATAAGCAACTAGTTATAGATATCACGATTTAAAGAAGTTATTATGAGATGAACTTTTAAAAGCTTTACATATAAATATATAATCATTTTATTCATAGTTTTGTTTTTGTAAAGTTTAATTTTCATTATATTTTTGATTATATTATTGAAAAGTTTGCAGACGAGATTTTTTTAATTTCGAGAAAAACGTGATATTATGCATTGTAATATTAGATTTTCGATGAGAGTTAAACGACTTATATTTCTCAAAACAATTGGCTTATTAAGTTCGAATTTTTATTTGGAAAATTGAAGTGCTTATTTTTTTATAAATATTTGTTTCATCAATGCATTTTTTCCTTCCAGTCCGTTCCGTTCCGTTCCGTTCCGTTCCATTTCCTTTCCGTTTCCGTTTCCTTTCCTTTCCTTTCCGTTCCGTTCCGTTCCGTTCCGTTCCTTTCCTTTTCCGTTCCGTTCCGTTCCGTTCCGTTCCGTTCCGTTCCTTTCCTTTCCTTTCCTTTCCTTTCCCGTTTCCTTTCCGTTCCGTTCCGTTCCGTTCCGTTCCTTTCCTTTCCTTTCATTTCCTTTCATTTCATTTCATTTCACAGTATATCGACCTATGCCATGATCGAACCCCAAATCCTTTAAGATATCTTGTTGACTACCATCTAAGAAATGAAGTTTTACGTCTTACGTTTCTGTACATGATTAAGGTTATAAAGACGAGCAACGTCATGCTGTGTGCGATGAGGGAACTTTTTGCGTATTCCAACAACCTTAAACGTGCCATTAACGACAGAAAGGACCAGGATATCTTCGTTCTCCGTAAACCATCTATGTCATCTTTGTACAATATATAATAGCAAGTTGCAAGTGAAAGAGAAGCCAAGAAAATGGCGTTAAAATTGGAGAAACCTGAGAAATGAATAAAATCCTACCGGAATAAAAACACAATGTTGACAGATTAGTGGGTTTCCTTCATTCTCAATACGACTTGTTAAAAACATGAAGATCGTTTGAAGGTGATAATAGATAATAGAATCATGCTCGTAGCCAGACTTGACCGTTTGGAGGGGCAAGTAATATATCCTGAGGGGCAAGTAATATATCCTGAGGGGCAAGTAATATATCCGGAGGGGCAAGTAATATATCCGGAGGGGCAAGTAATATATCCTGAGGGGCAAGTAATATATCCTGAGGGGTAAGAAATATATTCTGAGGGGCAAGTAATATATCCTGAGGGGTAATGGTGTATAGTATTTAGTGGCAGTAATGGAATTGGTCGGCTGCCAGAATTCTTAAAGGGGGTCTTTTTCGGTCTGTGTGGCACACGGTGTCCGAGAGCATGACCTTTTCTTATAAACCTCAAATATAAATTGTAATTTCATAAAAAGATGAAGCGTTCTTCCAAACACAGAGAAAATCGAAGCCAATTACTTTACAAGAGAAAATGAAAATATGGATCTGTGTAAAAGGCGAAAGTAATGTAAAATAGTAATTTAGACAATGGGTTTTATAGATTAAATAATTGTCTTCACCATATTAACATGAAATATCATTACTTTACTGTGGAAAATTATAATCATTATTTATGGCATAGGTTAGAGCATATAGGGTTAATGGAATTATAATTATTATAGTACAAGCGAGGTTAGAGCATATAGGGTTAATAGAATGACATGTAACTAAATTAAACGAAAGTACTACTGTTCTGTATCTTATTGGACTAATGAAATGAAATGGAGTTTTATATCCTACTGTTCTGTATCTTATTGGACTAATGAAATGAAATATAGTTTTATATCCTACTGTTCTGTATCTTATTAGACTAATGAAATGAAATGGAGTATTATATCCTACTGTTCTGTATCTTATTGGACTAATGAAATGAAATAGAGTTTTATATCCTACTGTTCTGTATCTTATTGGACTAATGAAATGAAATAGAGTTTTATATCCTACTGTTCTGTATCTTATTACACTAATGAAATGAAATGGAGTTTTATATCCTACTGTTCTGTATCTTATTAGACTAATGAAATGAAATATAGTTTTATATTCTACTGTTCTGTATCTTATTAGACTAATGAAATGAAATGGAGTTTTATATCCTACTGTTAGACATTGACGGTCAACGTCATACAGTGTGCAATGAGGGTTTTTGAATTTAGATTTCCAATTGTCGAGGTATATTCAGGGCACATATCTGACGCCGTTAAGGCTTCGGTCGCCCACTTTTATTTGAGAACAGATTTTGACATTTTCTGACAATCGCTTTGGTCATATGAAAAGATCGTTTTCAACTAACTAGCTTACGGCACTATTCCTTGAACAGAAAAATCACTTTGGTACCAAGGAAAACTATTTCAGGTCCAAATGCTGAAAATATCTTAGAATAAACCAAAAAACTAGATAAATTGGGAGACGATTCCAAATATTGGTATAATTTTATGTCCGCGAGTAAATGTCAGAACTATTAAGTCTTAATATCTAGAAATATCTTTAAATCATCCTAAATTCGGAGACAGTTGGAATAAATAAGCCAGGTACCCACATGTTAACCTTAAAAACACACTTCATGGTGATCGCCTGGGGCTCACAAATACCATGTGGAGTCAACAAATTTTTGCTGACAGGGAATCGACGATCGAGGCTATGAATTGTTTATCGTTTCACCGCTTTTACTGATTTTATGACGTCTGTTAACGCTCTATGATCTTTGGTTCAAGTTGTTAATGATGGCCTCGAGGACATCTCCAGGCTGGATACACTATCAGGGTTCTGATATAGACAATATGAGACAATGACGGTAATAACACAAAGTATAAAATAAAGTATATCACATAATTCTCTTGCACTTTTCTGCATTTACACATTTCCATGGGCTGAATATTAGACAGTACCATATCCTTAAGAATTGGGCCTTATTCGGACCCACGTAACATAAAGAATTTATTAGTATCATTATTATTAGCATCATAATCAATGGCGGCGCCCGTGGGTGTGCACATAAGAGGGCAGACTGTATTAATGGGGAGACAACTCTAGGAGGTGAGATTTCAAATGCGGAAGCACCGTTGGCGCAAAAAATCAAGTTGGTTGGTATATTAAGACACATTTGTCGCAAACAAGTATAAAAGTTATTTAAAATTTCTCATAAATAAACGGGGCACAAACTATGATTCTGGGTGGATAAATTCTCTCACCCCCACGCCTGTACCCCCACGCCTGTACCCTACGGGATCAACAACCTTTTAGCATCATAATATCATACCAAAGTTTATCATTTGTAATTTGAAATTAATTGAAAACGATTTAAAGGGATTGTAAAGAGTTTATCTAAACGTTTTAGGTGTATTGGGGACACTGATAGCATCGATTTGCAGCATTCTAATTTTCAATCAGACGTCCGTGGTGATTGTAAATCCAGAAATGCTCAACCATACCACTTCACTATAGCAAACGTTGCTGATAATTTCGCGCTAGTGGAATTACAAGACCCACAGACGTCTGAAAATTGGAATGGTGCCATGCCTTAATATATAACTGAATGATGAATGGTGCACACTGATGTTATCAGTAGTCCTGATACCGATTCAAAGACTAGAAAATCTCTTCACTTAACATCTAAACGTTTTGCTATCATTAAACATAATACAGTTGAAGCTTAGGTGACTTGGAACGTAGTGGAACGTTCTATAACCGGATCTTGTTGCAAACAACTTAGATTTATCCCTTTTACAGATATAAAGGGAATGTTTAGGTCAGAACAGTACCGATTTATTTGGGTGGGTCTTGGGGTGTAAACAGATGTCAGGGGATAGTTATTTATGGGCAATATGTATGGACATTGTTTACATTTTTAGCAAGTCAGTAGGTACCATAACACTTTTCGGCAAAACCAGGCCAGTTTAGTACCATATAGTAGTTCTATCTTGATAAATATTTACAAGGTTGTTATGACCTCTCTCTGTTTATTGGTCTGATTTCTTATCTTGATTTGGGAGAAGAAAGTGCGAACAGATTAAAGGAATGGTTATTTATAGACCTATGTATCGACATTGTTTACCATTGTAATAGCCAGTTTATGGGTACCAAAACACTACACCACAAACCAGGCCAGTTAGGTACAAATTGATATTGACTGTATTGCTACAGTTACTAAACTATACCCCTCTCTGTTTATTGCTCAAACGTCATACTTTGAATAGGGTTGGGGATGAGTTGGATACGAACAGACGACGCAAGGGGTGGTTATTTATTGGTTATAGGTATGTACATTGTCTATCACTGTCAATAAATACCAAACCATTATTACAGATCACCAAGCCAGTATAGTTAATACAAGTTAATATAAATATGGGTTTAATATGTATACAATAGCCATTGGTCAAATTCCCAAAATATGGAGAGGGGAGGGAGGGGGCATTTTTTTATCGTTTCTTTTCAGTCAATTCTGTTACTGATTGATTAACAATAACCTTCATACCGGAAGTACAGAAAATTGAATCGGAAGTTGCTTCAAACATCAAGAAAACCGGAAGTGGCTTTAATAATTTTAGAAACTATGAGTTCTCACCCCTTCCCCCTATTGGGTCAATGGAATATTTTATGGAACTGTACGAACCTACTGTTCTCTACTCTAACGAACTAATGGATCAGAAGGAGGTTTAAGTTTTACGAGGGATGAACCATATAGAAATATAATCCACATTTCCCTTCTATTTTCTGTATCTAATTGAGATAATAAAGACAGTGTCTAAATAAAACAATTCAAACTGTTTATATATATAACGCTCTCGTTTTCGCCTCCGTCCGTAAAGAATCAAAGTAATTCGGGAATATGTAACATATAGCCGATAATAAACTCAATCAAATCGTGTAACTGTCTCATGGTGAATATAAACCTCATATTATCTGCTCGTTAGTCTCAATTATAATAACTAATAGGTGTTTTATAGCCGTGACAATACTGTTTAGCTACTTATCAGTAAGGCTTTGTAGATAATGATATAAAATGAAACGCCTATTCTTGAGCCCCCTTCCCTAAAAAAGATGCTTACCCGGCTTTGCCCCCACCCCACCCCCCTTAACATTCCAAATTTTGTATCATTATATAGTTTAAGGATGACCTGTGCCCCAATGGAACATTTGGTGAACTCTTCTCGGTCCCTTTTTCATGAAGTTTCTCAGAAATTCCACTGACTCGGCACCTTTATGTAAACCTATGTGGTGTAATAGATGTAACAGATAATAGAAGAAGCGATTATTTTGTCCGGAACCATACCCCGTGAATATTTCCACATAACTTTTGTGAATGGTTGGTGTTATTACAAAACGAAAACTATTGCAAAATCCATTCCTGTATCAAAAGTCTGACTAGTTTCCGTGTGTTGATATCACTAGTTTAGATAAAGGCCTTATAACTTCAGACGTGGTATTTACAAATGTTTCATACTGATTATTTACAACTGTCGAATGCCATGCTTAGCACCTATCTCAGTCAATTATACAAGATATAGTCTTGGTATTTAAAGTGTTAGAGGCGTCTAAAAATTGGTTTTGGCAGTTAACTATAAAGATAATTGCACCGATTATACAGATAGCTGAAATTGAGCTCTATCAGTTGGTAAAGTAAATATCTAGATGTCTATACAGATATCTGAAATTGAGCTCTATCAGCTAGTAAAGTAAATATTTATATGACTATGCAGATATCTGAAATTGAGCATTACCGGCTGGTAAAATTAATATTGAGACCTATATACAGATAGCTGAAATTGAGCTCTACCAGCTGGTAAAATTAATATCTAGATGACTATACAGGTAGCTGAAATTGAGCTCTATCAGCTGGTAAAGTAAATATTTAGATGATTATACAGATAGCTGGAATTGAGCTCTATCAGTTGGTAAAGTAAATATTTAGACAACTATACAGATAGCTGACATGGAGCTGGTAAAGTCAATATTTAGATGACTATACAGGTAGCTGGAATTGAGCTCTATCAACTGGTAAAGTTAATATTGAGACCACTATACAGATAGCTGGAATACAGCTCTATCAACTGGTAAAGTAAATATTTAGATGACTATACAGATAGCTGACATGGAGCTGGTAAAGTAAATATTTATATGACTATACAGGTAGCTGAAAATGAGCTCTATCAGCTGGTAAAGTTAATATTGAGACCACTATACAGATAGCTGGAATACAGCTCTATCAGCTGGTAAAGTAAATATTTAGATGACTATACAGATAGTTGAAGTTGGGCTCTATCAGCTGATAAAGTTAATATTGAGACCACTATACAGATAGCTGGAATACAACTCTATCAGCTGGTAAAGTAAATATTTAGATGACTATACAGATAGTTGAAGTTGGGCTCTATCAGCTGATAAAGTTAATATTGAGACCACTATACAGATAGCTGGAATACAACTCTATCAGCTGGTAAAGTAAATATTTAGATGACTATACAGATAGTTGAAGTTGGGCTCTATCAGCTGATAAAGCAAGAATTGAACTGCAATTGAGCTTTATCGGTTGGTGAAGTAAATATTTAGACTCCTGAATCCCTTTAAATGCCATGTCTTTTATAACCAACTTATTTTAATAGGAAAATACCATGTTAGATCTGTACCACAGTCTATCATACTGGAAACATATTAAACGTTTATACTTGACAGTTCGAAAATTAAAACTTGAAGACACATCGCAGATCATGCGATTTGATAATCTGACTGCCTCAAAAACAAAATAATCACAGACACTGTTATAGTTTATTGAGGACATTATTCCTATATCAGTCTCTGAATTTCAAACTTATAATTATCATTTGAAACATGGATTTATCAAGGTATACGAGTTTTCCAGTTTTGTCCTTTGATCTTACTAGATGAGATTTCGATCAATTTTATGATCGAACATTGTTAGATTTTTTGTTAACATATTCTTAATATATTTTTCAGGTATCTGTACCAGCTATGGAAACAGAGAGCCCCACCTGTCGGTATAAATTACGGGAATATTCCGTACCGGATTATAACGACTTCACATGCGGATGGTGCCATTTCTATCTTTTTCAAAGGAAGAGTTTCGCGCCAAGTTCTCAAGTCCCGTTTTTGATGGCGACGGTGAACGGATCCACGTGGACTCGGGGACGCTTGGTCAAACCCGATCCAACCAATAAGACGAGTGTTAATATCATTTGTGAAAGTTTAAACTCGGATGAGTGCGACCGCTGGAAGATGTGCTGCCAATCCGCCCGGGAATGCTGCAGGGACCAAATCGCCCATCCTCCAGTGACCAATTCGACCTGCGCCGGAACGTGGGACGGATATGGATGTTGGCGAGATGCAAATCCGGATACGGAGAATTATTTGAGCTGTCCGAATTTCTTACAGCATACCAATCCGACTAGTAAGTAAAGTTTTTAACACCGTTATCTCTAGAACCCTGGGCCCACATCTGTTTTTAAAATCTGACAGGAATGAGTCTCAGATATGTTTCAACAAGTGTGGGGGGGGGGGGGGTGTTGTTTTAGGTTTCGGGGAGGCAAAGCCCCTCTTCTCTTGTAAACCCTGTTTACAAAAGTTGTCTTTAAGTCCTTATTCTATTTGCCTAAAGATAGACTCAAGTCAACCCTCTGTTTTCAAAAATCATTACAACTCAATGATTGCAATTGAGAGATATAAAAATTTCATCTAGTAAAATTTGACAGATAATTTACTACATGTTCATATTTCAAAACCGTTTTGTTCTCATCAACTGTCCTACATATTAGGACTTGCCTGATGTTGGCAATATATATTAAAGGGATGTAGCCGTCTGAGCTCAATATCAGCTATCTGTATAGTCATCTAAATATTTACTTTACCAGCTGATAGAGCTCAATTTCAGCTATCTATATAGTCATCTAAATATTTACTGTACCAGCTGATAGAGCTCAATTTCAGCTATCTATATAGTCATCTAAATATTTACTGTACCAGCTGATAGAGCTCAATTTCAGCTATCTGTATAGTCATCTAAATATTTACTGTACCAGCTGATAGAGCTCAATTTCAGCTATTTGTATAGTCATCTAAATATTTACTTTACCAGCTGGTAGAGCTCAATTTCAGCTATCTGTATAGTCATCTAAATATTTACTGTACCAGCTGATAGAGCTCAATTTCAGCTATCTTTGTAGTCATCTAAATATTTACTATACCGGCTGATAGAGCTTAATTTCAACTATCTGTATAGTGATCTGATTATTTACTTTACCAGCTGACAGAGCTCGATTTCAGCTATCTTTATAGTCATCTAAATATTTACTTTACCAGCTGATAGAGCTCAATTTCAGCTATCTGTATAGTCATCTAAATATTTACTGTACCAGCTGATAGAGCTCAATTTCAGCTATCTGTATAGTCATCTAAATATTTACTGTACCAGCTGATAGAGCCCAATTTCAGCTATCTGTATAGTCGTCTGATGGAGCTTAATTTCAATTCTCTCTATAGTCATCCAAATCGTTATCTACCCGTATACCTTTTAAGAATGGGCATACTACTTTATATTTGCTTGAAATTAAAGAAATGGATAAGTCTTTCAATAAATGACGCTGTATTCAGAATCATCGGAGTCAGTAAAGTTAAATTTGTGGTAAATCAAAATTTAGACGATCGTATACCCTGAGGAGTTGTAAGCTAATCTGTTATATTTAATCTCATTTTAACCCTCGTTATCTCCATTCAGGGTTAATACAGCCAACTTATACAATAATACAATAACCGTAAAGGTGGGAATAGACAGGGAACGGTGTACAGTACAGGGTTATGGACACAATAGAAAAAAGGACGAAATAAATACACGATGCACGGGCAGTAGCGGCCCCACACTCCCGAAACTGGGGGTACAAATAGGGAGCAGACTGACTCAATTGTTGGGGGGGGGGGGGGGTCTGTCGCAGTCCAAATGACCTTCTCAACACAGCATTTCTGGATGGCAAAAATCTTGAAGACGACCATTAGGACGACGATAAAGAGTAATTTCAAAGATTACTATTTCAAGATTGCGCCTCGAAAAAGGGTGGTTTTGAAAATCAGAATTCCAAAACCTTTACACCGGAAGTTACAGGTTTTTGGATAACGGGTGAATTAAAAAATGATTATTGCAAAACACCCAAACCGGAAGTGAGACTGTTCTCGATAGAAGATAAATTTAATGACAGTTATTTCGAGACATCTAAACCGGAAGTGATCTAGTTCTCGACAAAAGATACCCATTACAAGTTGTAATGGTGGAAATTAAATCCCAGAGCCATCCGGAACAAACACAGCAATTCTGATTTAGGTAATTGGAATGACATTCTAAGAAATGGAGATTTGTGTCTTACTGTTCTGTACCTTATTGAATCAATGAAATGAAACTGTGAAGATGTATTAGACGCAGTTAGTAACAGCTTGATATTGCGAAGAAGTTCCTTCAGTATATACCATTTTCAACCAGTTTATCCCACTGTGAATAACGACGTCATTAGACGCAGGTATAATTATGATTTGTGATAATTAGATATTTTACCGGTAGAGCTATATACAGTTAATCAATACACCAGATAATTCCTGTCACCTTTTGTCTTCGGAATCGATCCTTTTAAATAATCAAAAAAATCGACTGAAAGTTAATTAGCGAAATGACTACAATTATTTTGACAAAAGTAAAAAGAAATGGAGGTTTACCTATTAAGTTTTGCTTTACTTTTGGTTTAGTGAGACGGGGGAATGCCATGCAGTGTGTAACGAGGAAAGTTTTAACAGGACAGTGACTCTAGTCTTCTGTTTATCGATTTCCAACCGTCAAGTGATCTCGAACGTCTGTTGTAAAGCTATCAATTAAAAATTAATACCGGTAAGTAGAATATATAGAAACTAGCGGCATCTGCGATTTTTCCGTCATTCCTTCGTACAGTTAAACTAGATCTAGCGACTGACCAGATTCTGCCGGATGCCATCAGTTGCTAGAGGATTCTGCCGGATGCCATCAGTTGCTAGCAGATTCTACAAAATGCCATCAGTTGATCGCAGATTCTGTCGGATGCCCCCAGTTGCTCGTAGATTCTGCAAAATGTCATCAATCGCTCGCAGATTCTGTCTGAAGCCATCAGTTGCTTGTAGATTCTGCCGGATGCCATCAGTTACTGGCAGATTCTGCCGGGTGCCATCAGTTGCTGGCAGATTCTGTCGGATGCCATCAGTTGCTTTCAGATTCTGCATAATGCCATCTGTTGCTCTCAGAATTACCAGAAGCTGCCAGTCGTTGACAATTCAGCTGCTCCTTGATTTTGCCAGCAGCAAGGCCGACTTGAATCCATCCATTAACAGTAATTGTCTTCAAGAGTAAAGTTAAAGATAAAATGATTATCCAGCTGTTTTTTGTCTTTTCATCTTGTTCTTTCTGAAATAAATAATTTCCGTTGTTGAAAGTCAATAATCAAGACTTATTATATCTGAAATTAATACTGTCTCACTCTTTTTCCCACGTAATGAAATAAATTGGAGTTTAATGCTCTTGTTCCTTACAATATTGCACTAATGAAAAGAAATGATCAAATCTTGAAAAATCTACAACAATTTCTCTGACGAATATTTCTTTATTTTTTATTTTTATGAAATGGGTTTGGACGTTTTACATTTCTTGCACTTCTTAGACTTCAGAGCCATGCAGTGTGCAACGAGGAAAATCAACAGCGACAACTGTCATAGGATTTCAACAATTTAATGAATCCATTGGGTTTTAACACTTTATTATCATAATTAACGATAATCATAGCAGCAAAATAAAAGGGAAATAGAGTTTCATATCTTAATTTCCTCACCTGATTGGGTTATGGAAACAGGCAACGCCATGCAGTGTGAAATGACGGAAATTTTGCTAGGTAGTGGATTTAAGCTGCTCTTTTTGAATCCGGGTTAAAATACTATGATATCACGATTAAAGATAATCAAATAAGCAAACTGAAATGAAATGGAGTTTTACATCCTACTTTTCTGCTCCCAAATGGGAAAATCTCTTTTTCGACTTTTGGGATCTTTAGGGTTATCAATTATGAATTAATTATGAATTATGGGTTAACATACGATGATATTATAATTAAACCTAATTATCAAAGTATAAATAGAATTAAATTAAGTCGGGAGTGAAAGGGTTAAATAACACACAGTATTCTTTGATTCATTAACCCTATATGAAGGTATAATTACAGTAAACCGTTTATAGAGTTATATTAATATATAAAATAACAAGACAATATTATCATTATGTATCATGTCATCTAGGGATAAAAAATGGCAAATAAACATTATTAACTATGTGAACTCTCTGAATGGATAATGTGTTCATAAACTATATACCAAATAAACATCATCAGCTATGTAGACTCTCTGAAAAGGATACTGAGTTGACTATCAGTATGTGCACTCTCTGAAAGGCATGCTACGTGCACTCTCTTTTTCTGTACTTCCAACACTATGTTTTTATTGAATGGTATACGAACGAGACTTCAAATAATTTTCAACAGAAATGTTATGTGATTTTTGAATGTATTTGTTTTGGGCTCTCAGATGTAATGCAGTTGGCAATCCAACTTATGAGTTGACCATGAATTCCAAAATATATTTTTGAATATAAAATTAATTTCAGAATTCCGTGGAATTAAGATTCCTTTAGTTTGAGATCAGGGAATATTATATCTGATGGAATTTCAACACGCGCATGCCAGGAATTTCCGACAGAAGACTTCGTAATCTGAGAGGTTCATGACGACGAAACTTAAAATAAAATTACGAGTATCTTTTTTTTATTTCGAACAAAAAATTTAATGCATATTAATTGAAGTAATCCGAAGAAAAATGATAAGAACAAAACTTCAAACAACATGTTCGTGCTGGGAAATACTACGAGAATAAATTGGATACCGAACATTTCATGGATTGCTACGGCAATATCACGCCTCAATTCCCAAATCCAAAACGAAACATTATAATTGCACCAGTATTGGAGTACTACAAAAAAATTACAACAGAGTGGCTCGTTCCGTAGACAAAACCATAAAACGCTACGTAACGTTACAATACGAAGAAACTCTTTCAGTAAATTAACCCATAAAACGCTACGTAACGTTACAACAGAGTGGCTCGTTTACTTAGAAAAAACCTTTAAAATTCAAAAACGTTCAAAAACGGAGCGTCTTGTTCAGTAGAAAAAACCACAAAACGCTACGTAACGTTACATTACAATAGAGAGACTCTTTCAGTAGACAAAACCATAAAGCATTTCGTAACGTTATAACACTGCATAACGTTACAACAGAGCAACTCGCAACTCGTTCCATAACGTTACACAACAGAGCGACTAGTTCAGTAGAAAAAAAAATATAAAACGCTACGTAGGCTAACATTACAATACAGAGAAACTCGTTCAGTAGATAAAACCGCAAAATGCTTCGTAACGTTTTGCTGATGTTTCTATTAATATTACATTACAAACAAACATTGACTCTTTACATTATTTATAATACAAGCTGGAATTAATCTTTACCAATCTGATTTTAAAATCCAAGCTCACGACTGAAAGTTTCTCGAGGCAAAAGATTAGATACTAATCTCTCTACAGATTCAAACACGAGATCTCGTCTGCTATAGGATTTTACTCTGGCCATTTTCCCGCTCACTGACAAAAGAAAATTCCGGAACGCCCTCGAGCAAGTCTAGATATAGTAATTATCAAAACACTCTGCTTACAATTACTTGACCACAGCCACTTTTTCTATTCTTTGTTTGTGTACAGATGAAATGAAATGAGTTTTAGGCCTACGCTGTTAAAATCCGACTGGTGTCTAGTGTCTATGCGGAAGGATTGAGAATGGGGGCTCGGGGTGATGGTTTGGCAGGTATTTGTCTGTCTTAAGAAGAAGGGCAGTAATGTTTTAATGAGTTAGGTAGGCTACTGGTAAGACAGAAGGAAAGAAACGATAGCCTAAGCCTAACAATTTAGGTTCACAGTTAAGGATCCTTTCTACCAGCTGGTCCTGGGCCAAACCTCTTGGCAATGATATTTCCCGGATTATCCATACCCATTTACAACCGGGTCGATTGGTATTATGAAGGACGATGACTTATTCAAGGTCATCAGATTATCACATGTCGATCGAGAATATTGAATCTACAGTCGCCATTTGCTCGACGTAACCAAGCAAATGACGTCATGTAAAGAACCAACAATCTAACCCACTGTGCTATAGAACCTCATGTTAAACGCCATGCAGTGTGAAATGATGGAAACAAAACATCGCCTCAAGGCCTTGGTCTTCTGCGTTGTGGTTTTGAATCGAATTAGACTTAGAGCTGCAGTTAGTGTAGGTAAATCAGGTCGAGGTGAACAGATTTAGGCCACTGCGTTACAAATTCAGTCAATATTCAGAAACGCCGACAAACATCAGTTAAAGAATCATTGGATTCTGATCAAACAGTCGTTTTAGATTAATATTCCCCATTCAACCAGAAATATTGAATGCAAGTGACTGGCGACTACAAAATCACCAGACTGTACATTATTGTGACAGAAAATTTGAATTCTGAAATTGAGCTCTATCAGCTAGTAAAGTAAATATTTAGATAACTATACAGATAGCTGAAACTGAGCTCTATCAACTGGTAAAGCAGATATTCAGAAAAGCAAATACATGTAGGCCTATACACAAACCACTATACAAATATATTAAATTAAAATCTATTAGCTAGAAACGTCAAAATTTGGTATTTTAGCTGAAATTGAAATATATCAGCGAGTACAGTAAATATCTAATATATTGATTAAATATTAAAATAGGATATCATAATTTGGAAAAAAAATGTAAAAAAAGAAAAAATGATTTACGATTCATACGGGAAATGTCATATTTAAAATAGTCCTAAAAACGAGGACGAGATTTATCTCCATTTCAAGGAAATCAGTGATTTTCCAACTGGGTGATTTTAACGATATGTTTTGAGATTTTAATGAAGGAAAAACAGATATAAAATGATTTAATATCAACTCTCGAGACGGGTTTCTTTTTATACACTGATGGATTTGACAGCCGCTTATTTATCAATTCAGATTCATTAAAAATACGTTCGATTTGAAAAAAAAATTGTTTCCAAGATAAAATTATCGTTTTAAGAGTACAGGTGTACCATTGTGGTAGAGAGGGGGGGGGGGGGGGGTGATTCTAGTTTGAATATATGTAAATAGTCTTCAGAAGTACTAGAAATGTACGAAAATCACATAATTCCTTAAAAATACTTCAAACTAGGAATTTTACTCACTATTTCTATAGATAACTTATATATATATCACAGAGTATCATAAATTGACGAGTTTTTCATTTTAACATTTAAACAGATAATTCTGGGCACACGTGGAAGGCTAAAATTTCGACGGTGAGCTGAGATTTACTCAGCTAAGAATTACTGTTTCTGAGACTAAAGTTTGATTGGTCAAAAAATGGCCTACCTGTCCCTTTAAATGAAAGATTTTTCAATGGTCAACGTGGAACAAGTGGTTTTTATAACAGTCGTTGTGACTGTATCTAGCTAGGCCCCTGGTTTCCAACCTGGGGTGTTTTCATCCCCTGGGGGTATGGGACTAGGGTGTCAGGGAGTGTGAACAACTGGTGTAGGAGAAGAATTTATTTTGAATTGAGAGAGCACCTCACATCACCACATGCTGAAACAAATTTTTGGGGTGTGAAAGGTCCAGAGGATTGCTCTAGGGGTGTGAAGGCTGAAAAAGTTCAGCTAGACCATGTGAGATTTTTGTCAATTGTGGAGGTTATATGTCGGTTGTTGTGGTTTTATGTCGGTTGTAGTGGTTTTATGTCGGCTGGGAGAAAAATGACGTCATGTAAAGAACAAACGATCTAACCGACTGTCCAATATAGAACCTCACAAATAGAACGGATGGTTGAGCTAAATGACGGTGTTGTTAATAATACGTCGTTTTTGTGCAGTTATCTGTAGTTTTCTCTATGTGATTGCCTCTATCTAGACAACCAGTCACCGGGTCGACCTCCTGACTAACTCGAGGAGTAAAATAAAATAGTTTTCTTGTTAAAACAAATCTCCAATTCATTTTATCAATACAAGTTAATTCTCCTATCGCTCTATCGATCTTCTGGCTTTTATTAGCCTATTTAGTTAGAGCTGTCAGGTGAAATGGAGTTTTACATCCCTTCAATCTGGTTATGGTTAGCAACGCGATTCAGTGTACAATGTGACAAATTTTGCCAGTAAAACTATGAATCATTGGTAATTTCTTATATCATTTTTAGCTCATTAAGTCAGGGCGGTTAATTGAAATGAAATGGAGTTTTACGCCCTCCCTTTCTGATTCCAATAGCAACACTTTACAGTTGGGCAATATGGGAAAGTTTGGTAGGAAAGCGTCGCGGTAACAGTTGTCAAAGCGCATGTAACTTGCCTCCTTATGATTTACTAATGAAGGCGGGCCACGCCATGCAGTGTGCAGCGAGAGAAATTCTAGCCGACGAGTTCACCCTCAATCGCCATATCGCCCGGCTAGTTTTTATAAGCCTATTACTAGAAGAGAAAATAATCGATGGCTCTCAATGAAATAAAGAAATTGCCGGAAAAATTGAATTGCTACAGTTTATTTGAGTGCCTCTTCATCCGCTCTGGAGCTTCGGCAATGAATAAAACGATACCCCCTTCACGTCGCTGATGGTTTCTAGTTTCTTGGTTCGTGTTTGAAAGCATCCACCACTTGTATCAGGTTTAGATTTTACAGTAATCGAGAATAATTAAGCAAATGATAGCTATAAGTTTCTCTGATACACATACAAAGACTAGATTATCCCAATGGTGTAAATAGAAGCTATAAGTGTCCCTGATACACATATAAAGACTAGAAAATCAGAATTATGTAAATAGAAGCTATAAGTGTCCCTGATACACATATAAAGACTAGAAAATCAGAATGGTGTAAATAGAAGCTATAAGTGTCCCTGATACACATATAAAGACTAGAAAATCAGAATGGTGTAAATAGAAGCTATAAGTGTCTTTGATACACATACAAAGACTAGAAAATCTCATCTAAATCTCTTGTCGTGAAAACTATTTGATACGCTTCTTAACTCCGTTTCCAGTTTCTTGTTTGGTACACTGTTATTGAAGCGCTTGGGTGACAAATCACCGAGAATATGTATAAAAGCTACAAAACAAACGTAAATCAATGCCAACTACCAACTACGATTACCTAGTTTGCGATATCAGCATCCGCTGGAAGCGAACGTTAACTTGTCATCTACCAATAACTATCTAGTTTGCGATATCAGAATCCACTGGAAGCGAACGTTAACTTATCATCTACCAACAACTATCAAGTTTGCGATGTCAATTAGCTGGAAGTGGACGTTAACTTATCATCTACCAACAACTATCAAGTTTGCGATGTCAATTAGCTGGAAGTGGACGTTAACTTATCATCTACCAACAACTATCAAGTTTGCGATGTCAGTTAGCTGGAAGTGGACGTTAACTTATCATATACCAACAACTACCTAGTCTGTGATATCAGTTAGCTGGAAGTGGACGTTAACTTATCATATACCAACAACTACCTAGTTTGCGATATCAGCATCCGCTGGAAGCGACCGTAAACTTGTCACGTAAAACTCCATTCATTTCATTAATCTTTGACGCAATTATACTAACAAGGGGAGATAATCTGAATTTGGTCCACGATAAGGAGCAGCTTATATCGCCGCAGCTGCTAGTGAACGCTAATTAGTCTGTCGATGGCTTTTTGTGTCTTTATTCAGCTGACAATCAATGTCCTTTGTAGAACAAAATATCAACGTAAGTCCTTAGAGAGTGGCCTGTCTCGACTTGAGCGGAAATGAACCGGAGTTTTACGTCCAACTTTTCTCAATGTTATTGGTTTAATGAAGACGGATTGTCTGAAAACCAGACGGTTCAGAAACACGATAAATAATGTGTTTAACCCTATTAACCCGAACCAAGCACATCTGTCTCGACTCATGAACGTGCTATATTTTGTACCATATAGGGTTAATGGAGACGAGCTGTCTGCTTTCCAGACAGTTTCAAATATAAGATAGAAAAATGAAATGAAATAGAGCGGTATGATGACTGTTTCCGTAGTTTGTACATTGTATTTATTGAAGACGAATTGAAAGTAGAGTTTTAGTGATACGCATAGCAGTCTCATTAATTAGACCAAACTTCCGATCCTTTTAACGAAAGTTTGGATCTCTTTACATTTGACTAACAATTCCACTACGTAATTGACGACGTCACTAATCACGTGGGGCCTTATCTGATAACGCATTTGTTTTGCGATTAGTGACGTCATCAAATACTTATTGCAGGAACCACAGACGTCTAATTGAAAATTGAAATGGTGCAAATTGATGCTATCAGTGTCTCTGATACAAATAAATTTTTAAGAAAACGTCTTGACAATCCCGTTTATAGCTTAAAGCCTAGACAAATATATCTCTTAAACTTTTTTAAATAAGCGTTTTTTCCCTGGATTACGGTCACAGACGTTTCTTAAATTACATCTTTTAAATTACATCTTCAACTTATTACAATAAATATCTTTTGTCTGATTCTAGTTCTGTGGAGAAGGTCAAAAGAGTTAACATGTCATTGCCGGTAAACCGACATTATTTTTTGAATTTATCTAGTCTCATTTTTCTTGTACTTGTATTTGTACTTGTATCAAATGCTTTTAGACTGAGCAAAAGCATTACGTAAATCCTCAATTTGAACATATATTAATAGAATAGCCGCTTCACGTATGAGCTTAGAAGGTAGATTAATGCAACCGTAATTTGACAATCAAAGCGACCATTCCTTGTGTACTCAATAGCTCAGAGGGCATATTAAACCTACCGTAATCCTAATCAATTTGATTTACCGAGTTGTTATTTCCTTTTCGATTGAAAACTTCCCCAAAAAAAAAGTTAAAAACATCTGTCATCCGTCAAGTATATTAGCTCGTATTTACCACAAATCATTGGTCTAGAACGCCATACAATCATCATACGTCATTTCCGATTCAAATTGGTTTCCTGTTTGAAAGAAAATCGATCCTGTAATTTCCCCGATTCCTCCTTGAAAGTTAAAAACGTGTATTTTAATCTGTCCAATCCGCGTGATTTAATCAGCGATATTTTTTAAACCGACTTAAATCAAGTCCTAAAGTTATTGCCTAGATTTGTTTCTGATTAAGAGGAAATTAAGTTTCGTGTACAGGTGGACTGCGCGCTTTGGATTTTAGGTTGTAACATTGCGGTTAAGTAATGTTACGAAAGCACAGGCAGAGGCATGCAGGCTTGGGTTAGGCGAGAAAGATAAAGTCTGGAATAAGCAAGCCAAACAACTTACCTAAACAGTTGTATTTTCCTTTTTTAACTTAATATTAAAGTTTGATTAGGCATATTACATCGCTATGCAAAAGTAGATTATAAAACGACGAATCCTCTTCGATCCCTACCTCACTGTGACCGAAAAAAAGTAAAGGGAGATAATTCATTTTTCAGGAAAGGCAGTAAAGTATTGTGAAAGTAATGGAACCTGGAAGAAGATAAACGGATTACAGTGGACTGATTATACACCGTGTTTTAATAAAGAGGTAAATTCTTTTTGGCTCTCTCCCTGGCTCCCCAGGCCCACGTGCTGTGACGTTGGGAAAATATAAGTCTTGATTTGACAGGAGACTATTTTACCATAAGTCATTAATAGTATGGGACCGCTATTGACCGCGGTTCGGTAGTAAAAAGTCGGATTGTGAGACTGAAATCATTATCATCACCATTATCAGTATTCTATTTTCAGGTAACTGTACCAGCTACGGAAACAGAGAGCCCCACTTGTCGGTATAAATTGCGGGAATACACCATACCGGATTATAACGACTTCACATGCGCATGGTGCCATTTCTATCTCTTTCAAAGGAAGAGTTTCGCGCCAAGTTTGAAAGTTCCGTTTTTGATGGCGACGATGAACGGATCCACGTGGACTCGGGGACGTTTGGTCAAACCCGATCCAACCAATAGGACGAGTGTTAATATGATTTGTGAAAGTTTAAACTCGGATGAGTGCGACCGCTGGAAGATGTGCTGCCAATCTGCCCGGGAATGCTGCAGGGACCAAATCGCCCATCCTCCAGTGACCAATTCGACCTGCATCGGAACGTGGGACGGATACGGATGTTGGCGAGATGCAAATCCGGATACAGAGAATTATTTGAGCTGTCCGAATTTCTTACAGTATTCTATTCCGACTAGTAAGTATTTTTTTTTATTTTGACCTTGATTATTCTTAATTCCATTCCCCTTTTTGAGTTAGTGGAAACTGGAGAGTTCCGGTACAGATGGACTACTAGCTTGTTTTAGGCTGGTTGAGGGAGTTGGTATAAGGATCCCCTTACCCGAATATGTTGGCTTTCACTCATCAATTTATTTCAAACAACTTAAGGGAGATAATTTATTTTTCAGGAAATGCATTGAAGTATTGTCATAGTAACGGAACTTGGATGAAAATAAATGGATCACAATGGACTGACTATACACCTTGTCTTGATAAAGAGGTAATTTATTTGTATATCTGTCTCTTCTCTATATATAGTAATGACTGTGTCTCTGGCTCTACTATGTTTGAAACTGGTTTGTTGCTCTGTCCTTTGTCAGTATTGCAGATAAGAGGGGGTTTTGCAGTCAAGGTATTAGACGCAGTTCGTTATAGCTTGATATTGGGAAGATGCTGAGAAATGGGTCCGGAAGCTTTTCTCGAGGTGAAAAATGTTCCATGATAAAAAAATAGGGTGTAAAACTCCACTCCATTTCATTTTATTTAATAACAAAGAATAACGAATGGTGTTTATTTAGTTCCATGAGATGGTTTTGAAGGAGAGCTTTAAATCAACGCTGTCAATATTCATTGCCTCAGTTGTCATTCATACTCAAATCGGCGTCGAAAATAGCTTAAAGAGCCAGTGCCACATGAAATTATTACAAATAAGAAAAAGTCAATTCACGTCAGAATTTTCTGACATTAACGCGCTCTTATCCAAAGATTTTACCCTGTCTAGAGATCTTACACATATATTTAGCCTAACACACTTCTTTTGAAGACAAAATATAATGATACCAAAAGTTCTGTTATGTTGGTAGTAAAATATCGAAATGTGAGACTTAAAACTACCGAACACATGAATTACTGCCGCATACTTCATACAACTTCAAATTACTTGACAAAGGTTGAACGTTCTTACACTTTGACAGGACAGGACTATTTTACCATAATTCAGTATGGGACCACTGTTGATGTTTTCGATAGTAAAAAGTCGAAATGTGAGTCTCTAAACTACCGAATAGAGGACCTACTACCGCATAACGAATTGCATACTTCTCCAAATTACATAAGGGACGTTATAACACGTTATTTACTATTATACCACGACTATGAAACTTGTAGGAAGTCATGGGTCTTTAAACTACCGAATACATGACTTTCTACCGCATTCATCATCGCTCCAACACGTCTTATTTGATTAGAGACACGACACGAATCGATCTCGTTGCCGCTTATGGGCCGATCTGTCGCTCTTCACCGAAGACAAACAGGAAAACCAACACAAGTAATATTAATCTAGTTAAGTGAAATACTCAGTTTCAGTGACAGTCCTGACAGTGACAAGCTCGCGACTTCATTCTACTTGACCATTATACCATTCCAGTGGTCATTTAACACGATAGAGCTTTCACTACAGCCTGGCGACTTGATGGCTCTTAGTTGTCAGATGACTATAAACATGACAGTGGACTAACAGAATCAGAATGACATACAAAAAGAAAGCAGTCGACTCTGCTTAAAATATTAACAATTTAGTGACAGGTAAGAAAAAAAACAGTAAAAGAGAAGCTAGTATAAAAAAAAGTGCCAGCAGACTGCTCTGAGATAGAAAAAAAAAGTACTACCAAATTGAAATACCATACACGAACTGCCAATAAACGATAAGGGAATCCAAAACTGAAAATGTACTCCTGTAAGAAATACACAGTAAAAAGAAGCTATGATACGAATTGCCAGAAGCCTGCTCGGAGATCTAGATTTGTTGAATTTATAGTCAACGCAAATTCCAGTGGGCCAATATATTTACAGATTTAATCAGACGATGCGACTGCGGTTGACAAAAGCCAAGTGAGCGAAGGCCCACAGAAACTTATTTTTATCTCTGTTTCATTAGGTCGATAGATAAGCAAATGACAGGGATACAAATCACATAGACAGATCACAAGAGTGTCATAAATTTAATGGGATCTTATCACAGTCCCTCGACACCGTCTACGAAATTAAATCTTCGACGGTAGGTTATTATTAGTGGCTAGTATACTATCAACTTGCTTAACGATGTTGATGTGAAAGATGGCTAATGCCAAATTGCGGACTGTGGTCGTCGACTTTCATTAATATCTGACGTGACAAATGCGAAAAAGGGGTATGCATGTGACCCTCGTTTAACTTGTCGGTGTTTGATTTGGCTTATAAAGATTGATATTGCGGTGCAGTTTGTTATGAAGAAAAGTCGGGACAATGAAATCCAGGCCCGTAGCCAAAGGGGGGACCAGATGAGGAAGGCCAGATGGGGGTCAGAGGGGAAGAAAAATTTAGATGGTTTAAATGACTTGTTGAGTCGCTATAGTTGAGCCCTCCCTCCCTTCAAAAGCTAGCTAGTGACAACAGCTTTTGAATCACAGGGTCTCGGTTTACTGACCCTAAGAGTCCAGCGAGTCCCTAATGACTATAGAGTCATGATTGTCGGGTTTCACACCTTTACCGGTACATGTAAACACCTTAGACCAACATATTATCCTATTGTTATACATGTATTTTTAAAGGATTTTATGTATCAGCATTAAATCAAGAAATTAGAATATTTTTTAACTTTAGGACACCACCAAAGAGTTTTTTATTCATTGAACTCATTGTCCGTAAAATTACCTCTAATTTTTTAAACCTTAAACAATAAAACACTTGCCTTGACGTCACGAATAGAGTTTACGTGATATGAAATGGAATTTCTCACAGCCTAGAATGAAAGTTCTGCTAGCGCCCTGCTACATATATAATTTTACGGAAACTGCCGAGGATTGCCGAGTAATCAAGGACACCAAAACAAAGGAATGGATCCGAGGGTGTCCGTATGGCGACCGATGGGTACTCTTCCCCACCCTTCATTGCTCCTTTAGCTTGTTTGACTGTACTAAAGCTAATTTGAATTGTGCTACCAAAAGAGTACAATCTTGAACATAATTACAGTTTTCTGTCGTAAGAATGGGGTTAATTTAGGCGGTCGCAACTGTAATCTAACTGTCTTATCTAATTTCCCTTGAATCCCAAAATACCACCAGTTCCAAAATGGACCACCCTGAATTCCCTGAGGAGTGCAGCCTTGAACAAAATGACCTACCGCAACTGTAAACCAACTAAACCCCGGATTGTCTAAAGCTCGTTTGACTGAATTACAACTAATTTGAACTAATCAGATTGGCTCGGCAAACAATGTCTATTTGATAAAACTCGGATTAGCCGGGAATATTGGAGGTTTATCTGATCAGATAAAAGTTAAACCAGGGATTAGCCAAGTCTCTTCTTATCTCTATATTTCTATTTCGTTCAATTACTCCGAGATTTTATCAGAAGGCTAGTTTGATCACAAGATCGTCTGAATTTTTGGGAAGATTTTTCCCATTCCCTTCAAGTCCACGTGGTAACGGTACCCCCCCCCCCCCCCA